AAGTTGTTAGGTTGTTCACGCAAGTGTGTGTAGGTGTTGATATCCGATTCTAAATACGTGTTCTCTCTCGAGGGGAATAGGATTTAGGATTGAGCAACTAGGTATTTAATTATTACAGTTAATTAATATCTATCATTATATAAAACGAATAATCTTTTTATAAATTTAGAAATAATTTTTTGCCAAAATCATTAATTACATACTAAAATTATTATAATTAAAAAAGTTTTAAATAAATGCCGATTTGTTTGGAAACAATCCCCATTTATATGGACTCTTCCAGTTAACTAGTACGTAGCTCGTGCGATGCACGTGACATAAGTATTAAATGAATTATTTCCACAGAGCTTGTCCGCTAAGTAGCTCGTGCGATTCACGGGAGATATTAAATGAGTGGACCATAGAGCTTGTCCGTTCAAACATAAGAAATAATAGAACTTGATATCTTTTTACATCTTTTCATCAACGTTATTTTTTTTTTTTTTGTTGGAACATTAAACCTGAGCCTAGTAGCGCTAGCCTGTAAAGTAATTAATATTTATCTCGCTCAAATATTTATAATAATATATATTTGATTTCATTATATATATTTAATCCTTGATATAAGAAAAATAAAAATTTAAGGTAATCTTATTCCTCGTATAATACTCATATTATTTTATTATAAAATTTATTGTAATATATTGTCATTATTATTATTTATACAAGTTATAGATGTAGTCTTCTTCTTCTTTCTGTTTTATGTAATTAGAATATTTAATGTATGTTAATATTATTTATTAATGTAATTAATTTAAATTATATAAATAAATTTAAAGTAAACTATTTTGTACAAACATTTTACAAAATATGCACAAATGTTTTTTTATATTTCAATTTATTTTTTTTATAATAAATAAACATTTTTGAAATTCTATGCAAATTCTAAATATCCTTGATATAAATTTGAAATCATAATTGAATTCTATGTAATTATTAATTCCGTCTAATGTTATGGGAAACAAATCATTCAGAAATGTAACAAAATGATAAGAATATTTAAAATTTAAATTTTAAATGAGACATGTTTTTACTTGAGTTTTATGCAATTATTATTTTCTCCTATTTTATGGCAATTAATTCATTCAGAATTTTAATGTAACAAAATGATAAGAAATTTTAATATTTAATTTTAAATTTGAAATGAGACAAGTTTTTACTTGAAGTCTTTATGTCCGATTTTATTGCAAAACACATCAATTAAGGATGAATTAATGCAGACCGGCTTTTTAGCAATACAATAATAATACAATTGAAAAATTGATGGAAATAGTATGTATTAATTGTCATTTGACTTTTCTTGCTACTATTCTTCCTTTTTTAGTGTGCAGGTCGGAAGCCCCGTGAGGAATAGATTCAGCCCAAAAGTTGAACGGACAATCATGGTTGTGTAGACGGTTCGTTAGCGACATATAGAAAGAAAATTTCGAGCTCGAACGAGTCCGAACAGGCCCAAAACGCGAAGTCGCGCGAAGCACGTCTTTGGTGTGCTGGTCATACGCTTTGGGAGAAATGGATTTCGAGAATAGTTTGGCCATGCAAGCATCATTGAATAGAGGGGTTCGTTAGCGACGCGTAGAAAAAAACAAAACTCAATTCCGAGTTTGGACGAGCCCAAACGATCCTGTAACGCAAAGTCGCGCTGTCCAAACGATTCTTGAGAACATTTTTCAAGACTTTATTATTTTAATCTATTCTTCCATTTCTTTATTTAATAATCTTATTATTATTTTGATTTGAAATTTAAAATCCAATTTTAAATTCCATCTATTAATTAGTAATTCTATTAATTACTAAATTAATATCCAAAATTCAATTAATCAATCTAATTGATTAATTTAATA